AATTATTTATTTGTGTGGGGCCTTTCTATCTCTTTCGTATCAAATAAAGTTTTAAGCTTTGGTAACTACTCCTGAAAATTTTTGAAAAATTATTGCGACAAATTTATTTTTCAATTTGCTTTCATTCGCAAAGAAATGGGCAAATTTGATCAGCCAGTAGTAGTATAAGAGTCCTACTAAGATGTTTTATTGGAGGAAATCTAGGAAGCCAAAACTTAGTTTTATCAAATTACTGAGTTCACATATAATAGCTTTATCAATATGCCATAGGAATATTTGTGTTCATTTATTAGAAGCCTAATCGTTCTGTGGGCTTTGTAAGACCTCATGACCTTTTAGGATATGCAGAAAGCTTTGAACTAATTCTTATGGGGTGTCTTAACAGAAAGGGTTTTATTAATTTTTCTAGCAATTCCAATTCCTGTTTTATTAGTTTTTATTTGGAAGATCTACATTCATACCACTCAATTCTTATGTATTTACTTGTCTTAACACCAAAATTTCAATTTTTACATATATGCCGCCTTACTTGTGCTTGAAAAGATATATTTCACTTTTTAAAAATTAAACTAGTAGTAATTTTGATGTGATATGAAAGATTTGTGTCGTATAAATGTAAAAAATAAAATTTTGGTGTAATAAAGTTTAGGTGTTAGATATGTAAGAATTGGGTGGTATGTATGTAAATGACCCTTTTTATTTTATAAATATTTAAGCAAATTCGGATTCATGAGATCATGATGGAATCCTTAGAAGAGAAATGATTGTTTATTCATTGGTATCATAGTGCTCCATTTGTTGACTCATGAATGTCAAACTAGTAAAGCTCTTATATGAGTAGAGTTCTCCATATGGAGAATTTTGTTGATAGTGATTGTCTTATTTAATTCTTAATATATGTGCATAATCGGTGATTTGTTGATCAATCATAAACCTTCTTCTACAGTTTAATTATTTTTTGGGAAATTTATATACATACCACACAATTCTTATGTATTTACATATCAATAGAAATTATTGCTAAAAAAAACCTCCTTTCATTTTATCAATAATGGGCTTATATAGAGCCTTATAAGTTACAAAAATTATAAATAAATCACTTGACATCATCTATTTACAAATAAGACTCTACATTAGATACAAATGTCAACACTCCCTCTCAAGATGGGCAAAAGAAATTCACTAAGCCCATCTTGTCACATAACCTAGATAAATCTAATAAACTAAGTCCTTTGGTGATGCAGTCAACCACTTGCTCTCTGGTGGCTACATGACTTAGCTTCAGTAGGTCGTTGATCAGTTTTTCCTTGATGAAGAACCTATCAATCTCCACATGTTTGGTCACTGACTTATTGTCACACCACAACTTCATTTGAGTTCAGTGATTTACTTTGAGTTCAACCAACAAGGTTTTTAGCTCTCAACAACATCTAATACAATGACCCTGTATTCTGCCTCTGCTGTTGATCTTACTACAACTAACTATTTCTTGCTCTTCCAGGAGACCAAGTTACCAACTATAAACATGCAATATCTTGATATGGACCGTCTGTCATCAACACAACTTACCCAGTCAAAATCACAAAACCCTCAATATCTATATGTCCATTCTTTCTGCATATCAATGTTTTCCCTGGGGCACTCTTCAGATATCTCGAAATTTGATACATTGTATCCATATGAACCTTCTTTGAATTATGCATGTAGCGGCTCACCACACTTACTACAATAAAAAATATCGGGTTGAGTGTGGCACAGATAGATTAGACGGCCCACCAGCCTCTGATGCCTCTCACGATCAACCAATTCATCTGCCTTTGTGTTGAGCTTGACATTTTGATCAATTGAAGCGACTGCAGATTTGCACCCTAACATATTTGTCTTCGTGAGAAGATCCAGTACATACTTTCTTTGGGATAGGATCATCCCCTCAGATACATTAGCCACTTCAATCCCAATAAAGTATCTGAGTTGTCTTAGATCCTTTACCTCAAATTGCTTTTCTAATCTTCCCTTCAGTTAAGCAATTTTTATCTCATCATTACCGGTGATAATTATATTATCCACATACACAGCAAGTATGGTAGTGTGATCTTCATGTTGTCGATAGAATACCATGTGATCTGCATTGATTTGCTAATATCTCATATCAACCATCGCTATTCTAAACTTGTCAAACTAAGCTCGATGAGACTGCTTCTAGTTATACAGTGACTTGCTGAGCCTACATACTTTGCCCACTGTTTGGGATGTACTGAATCCTAGTGGTATCTTCATATATACCTCCTCCAATAGCTCCCCATGAAGTAAAACATTCTTCACATCCATTTGGTGGATTCTCTATGAATCACAAAGCCCTCAATATCTATATGTCCATTCTTTTTGCATATCAATGTTTTCCCCGGGGCACTCTTCAGATATCTCAAAATTTGATACATTGTATCCATATGAACCTTTTTTGGATTATGTATATAGCGGCTCACCACACTTACTACAATAAAAAATATCGGGTTGAGTGTGGCACAGATAGATCAGACGGCCCACCAGCCTCTGATACCTCTCACGATAATTCATCTGCCTTTGTGCTGAGCTTGACATTTTGATCAATTGAAGCGACCGCAGATTTGCACCCTAACATATTTGTCTTCTTGAGAAGATCCAGTACATACTTTCTTTGGGATAGGATCATCCCCTCAGGTACATTAGCCACTTCAATCCCAATAAAGTATCTGCGTTGTCTCAGATCCTTTACCTCAAATTGATTCTCTAATCTTCCCTTCAGTTAAGCAATTTCTATCTCATCATTACCGGTGATAATTATATTATTCACATACACAACAAGTATGGTAGTGTGATCTTCATATTGTCGATAGAGTACCATGTGGTCTGCATTGATTTGCTAATATCCCATATCAACCATCACTATTCTAAACTTGTCAAACTAAGCTCGATGAGACTGCTTCTAGTTATACAGTGACTTGCTGAGCCTACATACTTTGCCCACTGTTTGGGTTGTACTGAATCCTGGTGGTATCTTCATATATACCTCCTCCAGTAGCTCCCCATGAAGCAAAACATTCTTCACATCCATTTGGTGGATTCTCTATCCAGTATTCACTGTCAGAGAGCTCAATGTCTTTGTGACTGGTGCAAATGTTTCATTATAGTCAGTGTCATACTTCTGACTGTGCTCTTTTGCCACTAGTTGTGTTTTGTACCTTTCCATATTCACTTTTGGAGTTTGCTTTACCATGAAAATCCACTTGCATCCAACTATTTTCTTCTTTGCTGGTAGTGGTATAATATCCCATGTTTGGTTTTTATCAATCTGCCACTTTTTACTTAGGATCATCTTTATTAATCTGCCAACACTTGTGTATAGAGACAGAGTTCAATGATGCAATAAATGCTACTTGCAAATGTGAGATGTTAAAATAAACAATAAAGTTCACAATATTAAGTTCTCACCTAAGACGTTCAGAAGGATGTTCTACGTTACTGCGGGATGTCTTCCTTAACGTTGGGGGGTAGGAGTAGACGGAGAAGGAATAATATCACTTGGGAGTTTTGAATCAAAGGTAGATGATATAGCTGTCTCAAGAGTTAGGGAAGACCGGGACAAGGGACTTGTTGGCATTGTAGATTATGTTATCTCAGTTTGCTTCTTTCTCCGTGTATACACCCTTAACTCACATTCAAACGGATTTCCACCACTTCTAGGCAATCTCCTTGATTTCCGTCTTCTTAATTGATTCATCCCACATCACAAGATATGACATTGCTCTCACTTGCTCCACTTCATTACCATTACTACTCACTCTCTCATGCCTCATATCTCTAGTGTCTGTTGATTCACCGAAAGGTTAATTCACCTATCTAATGTGTAGTATGCTTCCATCTATACTCACAAAGAGTCTCTTCTTAATCGGGCTCCAGCAAACATAATCCTTCCGAGTAACCGAATAACCCATGAACACATATTTCACGGCTCTTGGATCCGACTTTCCTACAGATGACCTGCTGTTTTTTACAATACATACTCATTCAAATACCTTCAATGAAAGGGTCTCACTATTGTCTTCTTTTAACATCTGACAATGAGGCTTCTTCTCCAGCACTCTTGAGGGCATTCTGTTAATCAATTAAGTAGTCGTCAACACTGCTTGCTCTCATGAATGATGTGGAATATTCATTGTCATCATCATGCTTCGGGCACCTCTAGAAGATGTTGATTATTTCTCTCTACTACTTCATTCCGTGCTATTGTGTATGGGCATGTGGTTTGGTGTTGTATCTCTTGAGTTGAAAGAAAGTCCTCAAATGCTTTATTGATATATTCTGTCTCATTATCATATCTCAGTGCCTTTACAGCTACACCATATTCGGTCTGGATTACCTCGTGAAAATCTTTAATACAAGGAACCACCTGACTCTTCCATTTCATCAAGTATATTCATGTGACACAAGAAAATCAATCAATAAAAGTAACTAAATATCGATAACCATTCATAGAATTAGTAGGACAAGGTCCTTATACATCACCCTGTATCAAATCAAACACACTAGAGCTTATATTTCCATAATTGACATAAAAAACTCTTAGTAAGCTTCCTAAACTCACAAGCATCACAAACCAATTTCTCCTTATTTGTCTTTTCAGGCTTAGATGGATGCAACAAACTCAGTAAACTAAGACTAGAATGTCTCATACGTTAATGATGTAGCAGTAACACATCCTTAATGTTCCTTCTAGGTTCTCCAACTACAACACTTTCTACCATGGATGCTAGAGCTGAGTTCATCCCATCTCGGTCCAATTATTAGAGTTTGTTATGCCATGTTCCATTCCCTAAGTGTTCGGCCCGTTCCTTTCTCTTGGAAGATCACCTTAGGATTATCAAAAGAAATAATACATTTTAATTGAAGAATAATGACACTAATGGATAAGATATTTACTAGAAAAGAATTAACATGCAAAACATTTTTCATATGATTTGTACATCTCACTGTACTCTTATCAACTACAGACTGCACTGTACCATAAGTAGTCTGTAGATTCTCTGGTACTGCTAAATGAGTATATGAAAAGAACTCTCCAGCTGTATCTTTTACGTGACGAGAAACACCATAATCTATGATGCATTCTGGTGATTTTGTTGTGGAAATAGAGGCAAAAGCAAGTGTGTCACCAATACCTTTGTTGAAGCGAGTATAAGTGACAATGTTACCCCTTGATGTCGATGGATTTGAAACATTATCAGCTCCATCTTCTGTTGTTTTCTGGTTCTTCAACAATACTAGATACTCAAGATCCTCACTAGTAAAGATCACACATGTTTATCTCTCGTCCTCGTTAGGTATCCTTCTAGTCTCTTCCATACTAGAATAGCCTCGATCTGGCGCAACCAATTCAGATATGTGGCCGGTCCATCAAGCTTTAGATCCATGAGAGGGAGATCTAGCTTCACATGCGTCGGAGCATGTGCCAAGGTGTGGCTCTCGTCAAGACACTAGTTCCTTGTATGAGCCCGAGCAAGATCTTTAGAATATAGGGATCCATCTTCCCCAGAATTTTCAATCTCTTACCTCTAGCGCTATCTCCGTCTCATGACATTTTTAATCAAAAGGATCAATTCTAGATCACACAGATTAAGTCTAACTTCCTTGATGCAAATTCGTGTGATCCGCTTTGTCTTAGCCCGCACAAAGTTGCACCCCCTCTGTCTGAGCCGTCCTTGCCTTCTCTCTTCCCAATCGCGCAAAGCTTCTGTCCGTCTCCTCCATGATCATGCGATTCCACATTCCTTCTCACCAAAGCTAAAGCCTCTGTTAGCTCTAGCTGAGAATGCTTCTTGAGGACCAAGCGGAAAAACGAGAGTTTTAGGTCTCTTCTCACCGATCTACGCTTGTGTATGTCAATCTCAACTGGATTGTGGGATTCGTCGCCACTTCGCGAGGACCGTGACCGAAGGAAGAGAGATATAGGAGTTTCACGTTTCTCTGCACTGATCCCCAATGGTTTGATCGACAAGAGGCAGAAGTTTCGCATCTCTCTGCGCCGATCCCCACTGGTTTGTTCTGCATCTGTGTTTGCGTCATCGCCTTCACAGTGCCATCGTCTCACAAGGTTAGGTCATGTTTACCTGTTCACTGTGAGCCCTGAGTTGTCTTTCAACCGGTTGCTGCGAGAGGAAGGAAAAGACGAAGACGAGTGGCGGCTGACCTTGGTGAGGCTCTGATACCAAATATAAACTATTGCTCAAAAAACCTTCTTTCATTTCATATGTGACGGGCTTATATAGAGCTGTACAAATTATAACATTTTCAAATAAATCTTAGAAATCATCTATTTACAAATAAGACCATATAAGATACAAACTCAACAATATCTAACACTTAAAAAAGTTTGATATTTATATTTGTAACACATTGATGTAAAAAACTATGCATGAGGTGTATTTCACTTTAAAAAGTTAGTAATAGTGGTATTTTTTATGTTTTGTCAAAGATATGAGTGGCATGTATGTTAATATGAAACTTTAGGGGATAGATATATAAATAAATAAGAATTGTGTGGTATGGAAGTAAATGCCCATAAGTTTAGGGTACATTTTGCTGTCTATAAATTGTTCTGAACTATATCTTCTTCTGTGAGGACATTATTGCAATAAAACTAAGGCGCATTTTGCTCTGTAAAAATTATTCTTTATATGGCCACTATGATCAATAAATGATTTTTTTTTTAATTACATTTACAAGGTATAGCTGCCAACTTCGTTCAATTTCTCTCACTTTCGCTCGCTCTCTCATTCATTCATTCTTGCCAGCTTTGCTTTTGCTCCTTTCTTCTCCCTCTCTCTCTCTCTCTCCTCTCTCTTTTGCAATTTAACAAATTTCTCAAACTTTATCCAAAGAAACTGAACTACATTGAGTAGCAAGCCTTATAAATACTTATTGGCTGCTTCAATCAAATTTCTACTTAAGAGTTTGTACAATTACTTGAAAATTTTTTTTCATTAAGTCTGAACTTTATAGTAAAGTTTATTGTGCATGGAAAGCTTATCATCTGCTAGCTCTTGGAGTCACCCTTGTCAAATTTGATAAAGAAGGTAGAATGTGATTATGGCACTGTAATTGTTAAAATAATCTGAAATCCGTGTTTGAGCCTTTTCATCCTTGTAACCTATAAAAATAAAGTAATCTATAAACAATTGGTTTTTATCTACATCAATCTAGCAATTCATGGACAACAATTTTACATTTTTGCTATGTAATTAATTATGGATTCCATAATTAAAAGCCGGCTTACATATTTGTTTGTTTCGTTCTTGGTTGTTTCTCTACGTAATTATCAACAACTTTTCATTTTGTTTCTCACACGAACAAAGGAATAAAATTTAATCATATAACCTCCCGTTTTCTACATTTCTCTATTCTTAATTTAAAATTGACTTTGACACAGGATATAAATCTAATTTGGAAGATTTACATACATACCGTTTGATTCCTTCGTATTTACCTACCTACCACCTAAACTTCAATTTTTCGCATACATGCTACGTTATCTATGGATGACAAGGTGTATTTCACTTTGTAAAAGTTAAGGATAAGAAGGTGTATTTCACTTTTTAAAAGTGAAAAAGACGGCAGCGTTGATGTGATATGAAATATTTGGGTGGTATAAATG